GGTCGCTGGGGTAGGCAGGGAAAGGTGAAATTTACTTACCTGAACCTATTACCCATGGTTGCCGCCATCTTTTTCTGGCCGGATCTCTTCTGCTCCATGTGCAAGACCAGCAATGAAGTCTATGTATGTGGAATCCTCCATAGATACAGCTTGTATTTCTGCAGTTGTCACTGGTAAAAGCTCGGACACTTCCAGATGGTGGTAGCTCCACTCAGTGTCTAGAAGTGTCGAGCATAGGAAAATACTGAGACAAAGTAGTCCTTACTTTGTCTCCTTATATCTTTTGACTGGATTGGAATTTCAGTGAAATTCTGATACAGTCAGTATGAATATTTCATAAAGATTTATCTTTATGAAATACTCATTTTGCAAAGGGGGGGGTGTGACAGTGTCACTTTAATATTTGCATGTGCATGAAATATTTATGAAATACACTGAAATGACATGAGAAGTAGTTGTTTTTTTTACTGGTATATTGAATCTAGTTCACTTGCAGATTTCTAATCTAATTGGATTAATGTTCTGCTTGTGAGTATTACTTTTAAAATCATTACCTTGATTTACCTCTTACATGAAATCTAGATTTGCCACATGTACCATGTTTGCACAGACATATTTCTTTTATAAACAGATAGATAGGATTTTAAAAGTATTGTCCTAAACTATATATATATATAATTCACAAGCTGCAGTACCAAAATAAATACCTTTCAATGTTTTTCCTACTTTAAAATCAATTTTCCTATTGCTTACCTGTACAATTTCTATTTGAAGCCAAACAAAATAAAAAGTACTTTTTTGTTCATTTTCAAGCAAGCTCCTCACCTTCCGTAGTTTCCTGAAGTGGTCTCTTTTCCATGCTCAAGTTGGAAGTGCTTATAGAATAAAGCTCAACTCCACTGCATACACAAGGAAAAAAATGCTAACTGATCTAAGAATAAAATGCACAAAGGGAATTTGTTTCTCTAAATTGATAGAGTAATTAAAAATCTAGCACACCTGTGTAGGCCTCGGCACAGTTTTAACCTAGATAAGTGATGTATGCCATCTGCACTAGAGATGCTCCAAATTCTGGGGTAAGATCCACATTTTAAACAAAGCATATATTTTGAGTTTATTATGATCAGAAACATAAAACAAAATCCTGCAAAAGTGGAACAAAATAGACGGATAAAGAACAAAATTGAAAGAAAAAAAAATCTTAAAATTATCACTGAGCTAAAGTTAGTCTGACATGGCCTACATAATTAGAAAGCTGCACTAAACAGTAAAATAAAACAAGTCCCTTTTGGGTCCCTGACCAGGATGAGTTTGTGCACCAAAATGTGTGTCAGATTTGTTTTCTTTTTGTTGTTTTGGCACAATAAGTGGTCTGTGGAAATATCATTTTTTTTTTGTTTTACTGCTAAGTAGCAACTGGAAAAGACCAAAATGAAGTATTTTAGGATGTTGGAGAGCCCTGAAACGATACATTTAGGAGATCTTGAAAGATTCTGTTTCAGTATTTACTGTTTTTAATTAAATTTTTTAGGGGAGTTTTCTTATTATATAGTGCATGTCAAGCTAACACAGGTCAGAAATACTGCTGCTTCTTGAGTTCTATTTTACAGTAGATGCACCATGGTCCCATTAGGGCAAGATTGGGAAGTAGTATGTATCATGAAACAATGTCACAGAGTTGATACTTGGGCAACTAGGTTATTTGTTAGGGCTGAGAATTTAGTGCAACTTTAAAGAAACACTATAGGAATACAAACACATTCTCCTAGCACAATAGTGTTCTGCTTGCTGTTTAGGTGGACGCCCCTCCACACCATAAAAATTGTAAAAAGTTAATTGACAACTTTACTCCTTTGATGCGGACCACTCTCCGCGGCTGACCTTGCTTCCTTGGCTGAGATAATCAATCATGATCATCTTAGCCAATCCAATACGTTCCGAGGAAAACTCTGCACCAATCAAATGGTATCTATGGGACCATCTGATTGAAACAGCAGAGTTTAACTTGGCCATTTCGGCTAAAGCATTTTAAGTCTGCAATGTTAACATTCCTGTTCTTGCAAAATGTCAATGTTTTCAGTTGCACAGTTAAACATATAGAAACATGGCACTCGGACCATTTTGAAGAGATTAAGTGGTATGGTACCTATAGTGTCACTTTAATGCATTCTGCATTGTAATATCTCATAAACATAAGAAGTAGGTTGTTGTTTTAGCATATTAACATACAGCTATAGGGAATTTTGTAGAGATCATTATACTCAATTAATATAATGAGGATAAATTTTAAACCATTAATAATAATAATAATAATAATGATAAAATGTGTTGTTTATATTTTAAGTTAACTGCCCCCTCCCTAATTGTTCTATATAATGTATATAGATTAAAATGCACACATGTACATGCTTGCTTATCTTTAAAATGTCAACATAAAAATGTATTACATAACTGCGAAAGAACAAGGCTATCCAAGTCATAAGCAAGGTGAGCTGTTCAGATTAGAAATATTTTATATGTTTTGTCATTTATAGTGACATGATATGCAGATTTTAGCCACAGGTCATCTGAATATTTTACTAAAACCCTGGCTAGAATGTCTATTCGTCTCTTGAATATGGATGTACAAGTGCAGATTGACAAAACCTCTTGATACAAGCCCCAACATTATTTGCTTAAAGCTTTGAAGAAGAGTTTCACCTTGATTTGACACTAAATATTTTGACCCCTTAGGAAAAACCTGTTAGCATCAAATTTACTTTTTTTCCCCCTTCACATCATCAATAAAATGCAGATGGCTGGGCAGCACAGTGGCTAAACACTCCGGGGGACTGACATACACAAATTATAGCTGTTCGCTGGTGCTATTTTGTTTTATGCTACAGCTGGTCAGTTTGGACAGAAAGCTGACAGTTGGTAGTGATTTGAGGTTGGGGAGAAAAAAATAGAGTATTGTCAATAATTAAAAATCTACATTAAATGACAGGTGGTAAATTCTGGAAAAATTTATTTTCTATTAAAATTAAATAAGACTGAACAATGCATAATTAATTTTTTTTTTTTTTAAATCTTAGAGAGAATGAATTCAATTGTTATTTCTAACGCCAGAAGCGGCAGAATCTAATGGTTTGAAGGTGTTGTTCATCTCAGCATGTGTTTGTGTGACAATGAAAAGGAAACATTAGCCTCACTTTAACTTTTTAAATGCCAGAGGATGTAATGCGTCAGTAGGCTCATGAATGCAATAATTAGTAATCTTCACAAGACTTTGGTTCACACTGGAGTTTGTTTTGATGTTTAGCTATAAGGAATCATTAATTAGAAACATCATGGGGTAACTGGTTTTCTTGGTGGTAAAAATATATTTAGTGAATCCAGGAAAAATTAAGATCATAAACTTACTCCTGGACTTGAAATCCAGTGGGAAAATAAATAAAACCGTGGCCAGCTTACAAAATGTGTTTTAATGTATATTTGCTGCTAATCATGTGGTGTGAATTCAATAGGAACTAAATGCTATACAGAGACTATTCTAATGTATTATCTTTATAACCAAGTAATTAATGTACCTTGAGACGATTCAGCTATAGAACATACTGCTACTTTTTATATTTCACTTTTTGGCTTGGTCATACCACACTTTCTGAATGATGGGTTAGTATAGGAACATTCAAAAGAACAGATAAAACCAGAAGAGTTCACACAAGTTCTGCTTGAAATCAGCATTTTATTTGGTTTATGAAAACTGGTTCATCTCTTGTATACAGGGCTCCAAAATAAAGAAAATGTTAAATTTAATAGATTTCTGAATATGTAGGGAATTTTTTGATCTCATTGACTGAAATCAGTTTTATTGGGGGTGACGGTGGCAGTCCTAGACAAACAATGGACATCCTGATCACAAAAGGCTCATAAAAGATATATAGAGTCTCTGTATTTCTCCTCCGCCTGACTTTCTTAGACTCAGGGTGGAGTCTAAGTCAATCCCGACAGCTGTCACCAGTAACGGCTACAGGGAATTGGATGTGTCATTAAACTGTGGGATCCTCCATAGAACTCAATACTGTACTCTTGTGCAAGCACAAGAGTACAGCAGTGATGTCAGCTCCTGGTGCTGCTGAACAGGAGTAGACCGAACAAGATGGCAGCACCCACGATGGACAGATTCAGGTAAGTTAATCTCCCTCTGGCCTCCAGACCCATTCACGATCATTTACATATTTACAGTAGGGAAAGCGTTAGAGTCAGTAATAATTACAGTAAATACTGTACCTATATTTTCAGTATGTGAAATGAAGCAGTAGACTTTCCAAGAGTGAAAATTCTCATTCTATTATGTTTTTTCTATTATTCCTTTCATTGGGCAGGTGGGCTAGAAATGTATTGGGTGGCTACACATTGTAAGTATTAAAGGCTAAACATTAGAGCAAATGACATTGCTGGTAATTTCGCAATACCTTTGAAACTCTAGGTAAGTATTTTGCTGGGCTAAATATATCTGCAAAGCATTGCTGACTGCATTAAGAGACATTGTGGCGCTGTGCTGGTGCGAGCCATAAAACTAATATAGGTCAGATATGTTTGTGCTTTGTGTCAGACTTATATGCAGTATATTACATCTATAGATTGCATCTATACATATAGCAAGATTTTATAAGGGAAGGTTTGCATTGCTAGCTGTTTTATCTTATTATGGATAAAATCGACTGCATTCTATACATTTTAGAAAATTAAGGTTTATTATAGAAATAGGTAATTGGGCAGAATTTACAAGTGACCATCAAGTTAAAGAATGTATCTATATCTGTTATTTTAGCCGCTATTTGCAATTCAGTAATTACAATTCTTCTATGAGTTAATTCTCACACTTGCCCTGCATCTAAGGGATTTTGGTCTAATTGTATACTATCAGTACAATGTACATACATCTAATATGGACTGTTCTAGAAAATATGACATTATTTAGACATACAAAATAAATAACGCTTCAGGCACTCTGGGATAACAAAAAATAGCAGTTTTATTAGGGCAAAAACAGCAATGCTTTGACACTTCCCGGTACGGTCAAAACGTTGCTGTTTTTGCCCTAATAAAGCTGCTATTTTTTGTTATCCCGGTCGGCCTGAACTGTTATTTATTCTGCATAGCTTGGCCAGCCCTGGCTTCAGAGCACCTGGGTTACTTGGTGAGTGTGGTATCCAGTACGTCTCTATTATTTAGACATGTGCCTGCCTTTTAAACATTAAAACTTACTTGCTGTGCTTATTTGTTACTCAGTTCTTCTTTTATTCCCATTTTAACCTAGTTTTATTACTCATGTAATTGTACTTTTGTAGAAATAAACCATTATGAAATAGTACCCTTACCTTCTGCTTTCTTAATTATATTTTTATCCAATGCAATTTATCATTTGTCTGAGAAGTCACATTCTTTCTGTATTGAAAAATATTATCTAATAATGAGTAATTAAGAGAGCCACCAAGGCAAGAACTTGACAAATGGTTCAGTTCTGATAAAGAACCTGATTTATAATTTACACATTTGAAAAAATTAAGGACGCTGCTTCTTAATTTCCAATCAAGGCTCACGTTCATGATCCTAAGAATACTCAAATCAGAGCATTAGGCGCAGGCACCTTAGATAGGAGAGATCGAGCTTCTGTTTACCTTATAAAAGCTTTCTGTAAGAGCGTATTTCACACAGTCGCTCAAGCATGACTTAATTTCAAGGTTCTGAAACGCCATCGACCAATCAAGATACAGATGTGACCTGTGTCACTGGCATTGTTGGTTTGATATATTGTGATACACTGTGCTTGAAACACTTTTTAATACTAAGGAAAATTCAAAGATTTCCTGTGATATACTGAGATATATCATGATTCTTGTCTTTTATCATTTTTTATGGAGGTCGTGATACCCAGTTATTTCAAATCTATCCTTAAAATGATTAATAGATGTTCCCAAACAGGGTTTCTGTTATCTGAAATGATTGTATTAAACCTTGTGATACAATTCTTCGAATGCTATAATGACCAAGAGGAAAGAGATGAATATAAATGAATCTCAAATATTTCTATAGCCCCATTCCCATTAACCGGAAAAGTAAAAGATTTGTTGTTTAATCTCATATTGGACATTTTTAACGGTAAGTTTATAATTTAAGTCTGAGTCTCAATGTTTCATCACCCAGACACTCTGATAATTTATCAATAGTTAAGCTCATTATAGTTCCTGTAAAACGAGAAAGAAAATGAAATTAAATGTCTAACAACCTACTAAATTGTGCATTTAATACTGCTTTCACATTTACTGTGTTATCATAATGGCAATGCTTGTAAATGTAATTGTAAATTACTATTTTCTAGTGCTTTAAAAGTAATATAACATGTTTAATCAGCTTTAAAATGATAAAAAACTATTTTCAAGTTACAAAGATCCATGGCTGAGAACACTTGTTCAAGAAGATACATTTAAAGAAAAGTTCTTCATAAAAATTTCTGTAGTATTAAATAACATACTACATGATCAGCCAGTAAATGTTACAAATAATCAATCATTTTTTTTCTCAGAACTGCCTACAAGTTAGAATTAAATGACATGCAACTGTTTATGGATATATTCATGTAAATACACAAACATATATATCGCAATTTTCATTAAGAATGGCAAGACTGCGTTTTTCACAGCACAAGTTGTAGAGACTTCAGATGTTTACTTAAAACATGTCATTGAATTCAATGATGTGAGAGCCCAAATTAATCTGACTAATTACTTAATCCTGTAAAATATAGGGCTCAATTTAAAATTCTGGTTCTTGCTTTCAAATCTCTACATAACACTGCTCCCACCTATCTATCCTCCCTAATACACAAGTATATCCCGTCTAGGACCTTACGATCTATCTTCTGTCTGTATTCCCACCTCTGATGCTCGCCTTCAAGACTTCTCGAGTGCTGACCGTTCCTGTTGAACGTGCTTCCTTCCTCTGTTAGATGCTCACCCAGTCTCCACTCCTTCAAAAAATCATTAAAAGCTTACTTCTTCATGAAAGCGTATTAATTAAACTGTTAATAGCTCCCAACTGATTCCTCTCTTGCAACTGTCACTAGTCTAATACTACCCTTACCTTTTTGTGTCACTTTACCCCACTCCCTCTATCATGTAAGCTCATTGAGCAGGGTACTCAACCTCTCTGTTCCTATGTGTCCAACTTGTCTGGTTACAACTACATGTCCGTTCGTCCACCCATTGTAAAGTGCTGCGGATTTGATGGTGCTATATAAATAATAATATAATATTAATAATAATAATAATAATCTGACTAGAACAGTTTTTGGCATACCAACTGGTGGGGCCATGAACTCTAGCCTAAAACACTGTGTTTTACAAACAATGTGAACCTGTCAAACATAAATATTCTACTGTCATCAATAATCTCATCTTCTTTGACAGATATAGAATGAAAACCATTCTCCAGATTTGTCCTACTAAATGCCTGGAACAATGTGTATATATAGGTGTTTAAATGAACACAAACATGGACTTGAAAAGTCCAACCCTACTCAAAGGTTTGCAATTTGGTTATGGTGACTCAAGTCATCCATTTTCTAATTGGTGGTCAAAGCAAAAATTCTTCATCATTAGTAAAAGATTCATTTAATCCATACTTATCTTAATTATTAATTTCTTAAAGCAGGAGTTAAATATGTAAACTAGTCACTTACAACATATGGATGACAAGATTAGCTTCAGGTACACACCCATTATGCCTTCAAGGGACAATGAAAGCGAGCAGTGACCTTAACCACAATGCGTATCATGAAGCCATGTGTTTATAGTTGTCGTTCTCTACGGACAGAGAACTGCAACATCAAAATGCTGAACTTGAAGAGATTTAGTAACTATGTTTAATAGTAAATTACTACACATTTATACTGCTACATTTTGGCGGCAAATTTCAATTTAGTTTTAGTCATAGTCGTCTGACTAAAAAGCCATTTTAGTTTCAGTCCTATTTTAGTCATTTGAATTGTTTTAGTTTTAGTTTAGTTTTAGTCGACTAAATCTCCAGTAGATTTTAGTCGACACAACTAAAATCTAATGGGTTTAGTTAGAACCTCTGTCTGTCTCTTCTGCACCTTCCCCAGATCCTCTGTATCTCTTTGTGTCCTCCCAGCCCCTCTAGGTGTCTCTCTCAAGCCCTGGTCTGTCTCGTTTGCCCTTTTCACGGCCCCTCTATGCAGTGTTAATTTTGGCAGGAAATTTCAATTTAGTTTTAGTCATAGTCTTTTGACTACTGTGCCATTTTAGTTTTAATTGTATTTTAGTCATCTGAATTATTTTAGTTTTGGTCTAGTTTTTGTTGACTAAATCTAAAAAATTTAAGTCGACACAAACTTGACTCAAATTATTGGTTGACAAAATTACGTGGTTAGGACTATCTGTAAATAAAAAAGGGACCATTAAAAGAGAACTTAGTTTTATTTGTAAGACTTTTAAGTAAGACGATCCACAGTAAATATACATAAGACTTGTTTCTTATCCATGTAGATTAAGTAATAGAACAGAGTGTACAATGTATGTATCGCAGATGATAAAAATGCACCATGTGGTTATAGTAGAATAAGTTACCATTTTCACTGTGTCTTGCTACTGCAAGATTACTATCAGGAAACAATGACACCTATACTCGGTGGGGATCAGTAATCTCTGAATAACACAATCTTACAGGAACATTTACAGCAGGATTTGGTACAGCGCTTACGTTTTTAGGTAAACACATTTATTATGTATAAACCTAAATTGTTCTGCTTTGTGTGATGTACAACCCTACAATTTGCACTCCTTTTATTGATGAATCTATAAAGATTTGTGTAAAGTAACAAAGCTATATAAACAAACATATTTTACATTAAGCTCGTGATTTCTGGTATCCTAAGTAAAAATTAACTTGAGACCTGGGTTAATAGGCAAAAGTGTATGCTCAGCAGTATAATTATTATAGTATAATTATTTTCCCAAGGCTTTCAAGGCCAGCAGGTGTGTGATGAGTTACCCTCCTCCCAATTAGAAGAGTCTATGTTCCTTTTAGGAGAATAGACAAGAACGGTGTACGCTAAGCCAACTAAGATAAAATTCCTTTCTCTTTGCTTTATTCTCTTTCACTGATATCATGCATACATTCAAGATCTTAATGTGTATGCTAACAAAGCCAGTTTTGACTGCATCTCCTCTATTGCAATAAATACATGATCCTATACGTATATTAGCTATTTGGCAAACACTGATGTTAAAATAAAAGTATTTTTATTTTTAAAAGTACAGATTTCAATAGAATTCGGCACTTTTAGTTATTAACCTTGTTACACTGCCTGACTATCAATCAGATAACAGGTCCAGTTACTTCCTAGCCTGTTTAACTCAGTTGAGCTTAACTCAGTGGCAGCAATTGTCCAGAGCACCTGTCTTGGAAAGACGTCTCATTAAAGTGCATTGGGAAGGCTGCGATTGGACAGACACAGATAGTCTGGGAAGGGGAAGAAGGGTAGGGTTATCAAAGGTCTTGCAAAGTCTGCAGAGAAAAGGTCTGCAGCTTTTGCAAGTTATTTTTAGATATACTTCCTCACCTCCCCTACCCCCCCCCCCCAAAAAAAAAGCATAATTAAATGCATGCATAGCTTAATTGGGGGTATGTCTACTAAATTAGAGGTTTTTTTTTATTATTATCTTTATTACTTGGAGAGCAGTGGAATGCCCTTTTGAGCTTCTTAACATAGCTCTGTATACAGAAGCTTATTTCTGGTATCTGAAATGGTTACTTAAGCAATGCTCTCCTATACTATATCTCTCATAATGATCAGTGTGGCATGCAAGAAGGCATAATGGTGACCTTGTCATACTTACATTAACAAAGCTTCCAGTGAGTAACTAAAAACACATAGACAGCACAAACTCCCCAGTAGCACCGCACTAAGTTCTATGTGGTTTATGTATGATAAGCATACCAACAATGTTTAAAATCTAATCTTATGCTTGTTTTATATTTACTGTTTTTCCATTATATGTGTCTTAGACCGGGATAGACTTAAACCTCACTCATAATTTTCACCAG